ACGCATCACCGCCTCTGGTGTCTCACCAATCCCTCCCCTTTCTGATGTTTTTGCCCCATGACCCTACCCCTACAACCCTCGTGCCCCCATCTCTTTTCGTACTATTTATTCTTTATGAATATATTTTGTATTGCTCCTTTTTTTTGGAGCGGTTTAATTTACATAACATTCAAACAAACATTGTAATGATATGCTTTAACACTAATTTAATAGTATTTTATATCTACTGTACATTGGTTCACAGCTTACATGACCCCATGACCCCATCCGTCTATCTCCTCACACCACCCCCCTAGACCCCCACCTCTTTTCACATAGAGTTGAATTTCCTGAAAGTCATCCTTAAAATGGTTTTGTTTACCTTTATTAACATGTACGAAACTATTCAAATTCTTTCATGAGAACACTGTTAACCAATTGGTGACCTTTAAAACTCCACCGTATCCCCACACATCATTAAAGTTTCACACCTACCCACCCCACACATGTCGGTACTAAACATTAAATTAATTTTAATTAATTTTTAATAAATTCGTAGCTACGACTATGCACATCGACCCTGAAGCACCAACCTTTACCCCCTCCCGCTCAATCACTCACATACCAACCTGTTCGGTAACCCCCCCCCCCCCCCCCCCAACGACCTCACCATGCGCCCACCCACCAGAACATCAGCTTTGATTTGTTTGTGTTTTTTTTCCTGTTATATCTAGTATTGTACAGCCTTCCGTGACGATAGTTTACAGACGACAATGGAAAGATCAAGCAGAGTTTGTTATTACCTCCCCTTATTTTTAAATAGTTTAAAGCCTAAATTATCTTCCCTAATAGCCGTAAATAACTCGACCGGGTTCTACGATTGTAAACAACTCACCAAACTGGTAGGGTGGGGTTGGTAGCGACATGGTCTGTTGGGTATGCATGGAGAGTGAGAGAGGGGGAGGTTCGGCGTACGTCTACGTCTTGTCCCGAATGGTCCCCATGAAGAGAATTATATACGTAGATATTTATTGTACAAAATGAGATGAAATCCACTTAAACCTACTTTATTTTCGACTATTCTACTATATGTTATAATTTTCACCCTCGTTTTTTTGGTAAAATGTTCTAAACCAGCCTTTGGCCACTTTTTAAAACCAACATGCTTTAAACCCAATGTATTTTATGTATTTATTTACTTATTTATCTATTTATTTACTATAGCTCATGCATCATTCTAACTACCTTGTAAATACTCCCCCCCCCCCCCAAACGGCATGTTATTATGTAATGTTTCTGCAATTACAAAGCAATAGACGCAATCAGTGTTTCTTCCAGTATTTTTCTCCCGGGGGAATGGGGGACACTTGATATTTTCGGGGGGGCGGACAACATTTTTCGATGGAGGGGGGGGGGGGGGGGGGGCGCACACTAGTACAAGTATATTTTTACTATATAAATTCTATCTTATTCTGGGGGGGGGGGGTGGCGGTAGGCTTTTTTCGGGGAGGGGGAGGCAGAGCCCCTTTACCTCGAAGAGAAGCCTTGAAGAAACTCTGGACGCAATACCACAAGCAACAGTATACCAACAGTATACATCTCAGTGCCATACCAATCCGTCATACAACAGTAAGTACTCCCAGTTCTTTGAAAAAAAAATGTATGCAGGGCCAGGTAGAGAGCTAGGTCCGCTCCCATCCTTTGATACTCCAACTGCACTTTAAACACCCAAGCATACACTTTTATTTTGTTGATGTATTAAGATCTTAATTACTAATCATGTGGAAGCCACTCTATCTTTAATCTAGCTGCTTTGTTCCCGAAAGGGAAGCTATCAAGTAATTGCAGTGTAAGGCAGAAAGCCAGGACTATCTCCCTTAATTACACTCCCATCCTATTATCTATCTATCTATATATATAATTCTCTTCTGGAAGACGCTAGAAAACAAGCTGTAAGCGCACCTTGCAGTCCCCTCTCTTCTTCACTAGGCATAAATCAACCTCCCCCACCCCCACATGGTCTGGTGAGCTGTGGTTCGCGCTAAATGTTTACAATCATAGAGCCGGGTTTAGTGACTCCTATTAGGGGCAGATAATTTAGTTTGAAACTATTTTAAACTTAGGGGAGGTAATTAAGAGGAGGCTGCTTTCACGGGGGGGGGGGGGGGTAGGGTAGGGGTTGGGGGAAATGAGGGTGGGGGGGGGGGGTTATCGTCCTTAACGACCAACTGATAGTATTTTAAAGCAAATATTTACAGTGGCAGCATTGGTACAGTCGAATTCACAAATTATGAATTACTGAAAAGTAGAAAATAAAACAATTAAATAGCGGCGTATTTTACACCGCTGGTCGGCTCGTATGTATAATTCTCTTTTGGTAGACGCTAGAAAACAAACTGTAAGCGCGCTCCCTACCACCCCCACCTTTACATGTTCTGGTGAGTTGTGGTTCACGCTAAATGTTTACAAGCAAAGCCGGGTTTAGTGACGACTATTAGGGGCAGATAATTTAGTTTAAAACTATTTTAAACGTGGGGGGGGGTAACTAAGTGGAGTTTACTTTAACGGAGGGGGGGGAGGAGGGTTGGTTATCTTCCTTAACGAGCTACTTATAGTGTTTTAAAGAAATATTTTCAGTTGCAGAGTTGGTACCGTCGAATTCACAAATTATGAATTACTGAAAAGTAGAAAAAAACTAAATAGCGGCGTATGATATGCCGCGGGTCGGCTCGTATATATAATTCTCTTTTGGGAGACGTTAGAAAACAAGCTGCAAGCGCGCCTTGCAGTCCCCTCTTTTCCTCTCTATGCATATCGCAACCACCCCCAAAACCCACATGGTCTGGTTTAGCTGTGGTTCACACTAAATGTTTACAATCGTAGAGCCGGTTTTGGTGGCGGCTATTAGGGGCCGTTAATTTAGTTTGAAAATATTTTAAACTTAGAGGAGGTAACTAAGAGGAGGCTGCTTTCACGGGGGTGGGGGGATGGGTAGGGTGGGGGTTGGGTGGGGATGTGTGGGGGATTTAGAGTTTTAAAGCAAATATTTTCAGTGGCAGCATTGGTACTGTCGAATTCACAAATTATGAATTACTGAAAAGTCGAAAAAAAACAACAACTAAATAGCGGCGTATGATACACCGAGGGTCGGTTCGTACCATTTATTACATTCCCGATGTTTCTCAATGTTTTCTGCGATGCCTAACTTGAAGTGTTTATGTTGATTTTTAAAATATAAAAAAGACTGTTGTAGGTGGTAGTTGTAATTGAACTGGGTGCATGAGACTTCTTCTATTTCAACAAAATAAAACTGCACATTATAATTATTGTCCTGTCCTTCTCAAATGCATGCTCTATTTCGGGAAAATCCCAAACTCTACATGAACTAGACCAACAGTTTACACACATAGCCTTTCTGTGTATTCCCTCTTCCTTACCGCCCCACACTATCCAATCAAAAACCCATTTCGCTATGTTTAGTTTTTCTTCCAGGAAGAACAATTTGCTCCAGTGAACGTAATTAAAAACTCCCCAAAATCCATAACACGATGTATTTTTATGTATATTTATGTACTAAAGATTAAAGGATAGCTGAAAACTGTAAACCTACACCAGTCCTCATATGTCAGATGATAAACACAGTAATTTAACAGCGGACGCCTCTCAGGCAACGTCGAGGCTCGCTGATAAAGATTACAAGTCTTAGGACATAGAACATAAATTTAAAAATTCCATTTAAGCAATTATAACACGCTTACTTGAGGCCCGAAATGAGTTTGTACATAATTTTGTCTGGTTTGTTGTCTCAGGATGGTTATACATCGCAATGAAATAGTGTAAATTACTCAGGAAATAGACAATTTAAAATGTATTGAAGCAAGCAACAACAATTCTTTTTACGAGAAGTATATAGTTTAAACAAATGTTTCACTTTGCCAATTGTACTTAATCAGTTATTCAAACCTAGTCAATAATACCCACTTACCTAAAATAGATTACACTAGTTCTGTAATTACTGTCCCATCTTATAAATTTTAAAATATTACCAAACCTATCCATCTCCTATTTATAACCCTAAGCTTTACCTATCCTAAGCCTTTTGTATCCATTGTCATATCATTGTGCCCGACGGATGGCTAGAGGTATGTCGTCAGATAGCAGTCTCAATGGCAAGATGCAAGCGATCGTTTAGCAAGTTAAAACTTATTTTTTTCGCATTTAAAAAGTGCGTCAATGGGTCAAAATCGTCTCAGTGATCTTGCTCTTCTTAGCGTTGAAAGTAAAACAATGATTCTTTCAATACAGTATTTTATTAAAATTTAAATTGTTTTACTTATTTAATGTAATGGAAAAATGTGATTAAACAGGGTGTGGGCTGGGGAGCCAATTTAATAGTTCGTTCCCTGGCATAAAATATCATAGCTACTCATCTGCAATTTTTGCCGGTCACTGTTCCTTTAATGTATTTCTTTTGCAGTTACAAAGTCAAGGAAGAAAACAGCATGTAAAGGCTCGTAGCCCATACATTTCTTGACTTTGCTTATAATTCAAAACTGCAGCTAAAATGAGCTTCTAATTTTTTTCAAACCCATTTGCGCGCCACTCGGGTCGGCGCCCGGGGACATAGGAACCCCTCCACCCCCGCCCTTTCCTACACCTCAGAATGTCACTTATACAAAAAATCATGTAAGCACTAAAATTGCACTTAGCTGGAATATTATGCGTAAAATTCTCTTTACTTTTTGTATACTATGCATTTGAGTTTCAGGATGAATTATAAAATCACTTTTTGGTTTATTACGAAAACAATGCTATAATTCTGTCTTTGGGATTCTAAGAAATCTACCTGACTTAACCGTTTGGGAAAATACAAACTCGTGGGCCTGGAAAGTCTATATTAACTTTTGTTTTAGACATATATGGTCAAAACGTGATAACATTAGGCGTGCACTAAAAGATATTTTCCGTAAATTTTGTTATGACGACAATTAAAAGAGGTTCTAGATTTCTGATGTTCTTACTAAATTTGTCAGCTTATAAATGACGTCATTTCCTATCCAGAAGTCTCCAGATGTTGAACCAAATCCATTTTTATAATCGTTCCAATTTCTTGTAAAGTTCACATCACCTTTGATACGTCTCTGTAAGAAATAACGACAATGCTAAAATAAAGTTTAAGCTCATTTGATTGATTCCAAAAATTAATTACGGTTTAATTTACGCAAGTGCTAATATAAATCAAAATCTTTAAGAACTCTAAACGATTCTGAATAAAATAACGGCAGTGGTAAAACATTTTTTTTATTTTAAGACTTAATTATCGTTGAAATTTATTAAGTTTTTAGTTATATCATACAAACAAACAATTTACACAAAATCAATGCAGTCGCTATTGCCTAAGACCTAATATTCTTCACATTAACTCTCTATATATGTCCAACACTGTGTGTATTATACAGCTACGACTATTACGAGATAAATAAACTTGCTTTAACCTTTGCCTCAGTTCAACCTCGAAACCAAATAAATCCCAAAATTTTATAGATACAAAACAATCACAATACTCAAAAAAATATTAATGTGCACATAACATTATAATTCTCTATAACAAATTATGCATGTCTCTACTTTATTTAAAAATCCGAACTTTTATCAATAACAACAAAATAAACTAGGCTACTAATAACCTGTCAGACCAAAAGTAACCACACTCGAGTTATGTTTAAACACTGCTGTAAACTGGCCCCTGACTTTACGTCACCCAATTAGACTACTGGCCAACGGTCTGCCAGAACTATAACAAAACTAGAGATGGTGTCTTTTGACGTCCATATAAATTATTAGAGTCATCGTAATTTCAAACAGACAAATACTGCGTATGTCGTTCAACTAATAGAATTTTTTTTTTTAAGATCGCATCTAAGTGTCAACATTGTGTATCTTACGTGTGTTTTCAATTGAATAAATAAATCGTAATTATTAGAATAAAATATAGGAAAAAAACTAATTAGTTTAAAGTCTAAGAATAACTTAAATGACAAAACAACCTGTATAATAATCCATCCTCCACCGTTAGTCTTGGTATCACACAATGTTCTGCTGATATCTACTCCAGCCTCTGTTATGTCCGCTAAAAATCTGTTGTTCGTGTTGGCACATTTAAACTGGAGTAAAAAAAAACGTGTTCAACATTTGTTCTAAATATCAGTTGAAAACGTGTGTTTTTACACCGGGAAACATTTCGCTACTTACCTTTAAGAACCATGGTATGTTATTTTCTACTGCAACATTATCGACTAGCAAAACACTTGACCTATATTGAGGATTCTTTTAATAGAATTCGCAAAATATCACCCTAAAGTAAAATACCTGTACTTTTAAGTACTTTATCCCTTTGTAATAGAACTTGATGGAACTGTGAACTGTACATCCAAATTGGAAATTAGCAAAACTTAAAGGTTAAATCGAAGATGCTTAGCGAGGATAGGGAGGGTGCAAACTGCAAAGTCGATAAGACCTGTTTTTTCCAGCTGTTTTAATAAAGATAAAACTATAGATAAAAATCGTTCTTATTTTAATGATCGCAGTTTAAAGATAACACCGTTTCAAAATTTGCCTAATGAAAACGTTTTTGTTAAGAATAAAATCTTTTCTTTCGGGGGGGGGGGGGGGGAGGGGGGGGGAGAGAGAGAAGGGGGAAGGGGAGAGGAGAGAATGACACGATTATGTGCTGCACCGGGTGACAACCTTTCTACGCCACAGTTTAATTGTATTATATATATATATATATATATATATATATATATATATATATATATATATATATATATATATATATATATATATATATATATATATGTATGTATATATATATTGCAGTAAAAAAAAGAGCGTACCTGTTCACGTAGTCCACTGATGAGGACATTATATTTATCTGATTCATTCATCAGATTTTGCATTACGCTTTCAATCTTCTCCATACTGGCGTTAAAATGAATGTCTGTATTGTTTAACTGAGATACAGCAGTCATTAAATCATTAACTTTCCTTGCCTGTGCTTCTGAATACATTTTATTGTGTTCCTCCTGTTGCTGAATGCGTAGATTTTGACCATGTTCGGCTCTCGCTGTGCTATTTTTTATCATTTCCTCAGTCACATTTAATAAATCTAACTTGAAATCATGAATGGTTTTAGCTAGAACTTCACTGTGATTTGACTTTTGAGACAAATTCTGAATAGCGAATGATACATTAGCAACACTGTAGTTCAGTTTCTCCAGTTGTTTGTGTAAAATATTGTATAGACTTGATATATTGTGTCCCGACCTACTTTGTTTTTCAAGTGTGTTATTGTTTGCTTCTATCTGTTGAGTTGTTTTGAGAAAATTTTTAGTTACGTTGTATTTAAAGTTTGTCAGCTCTTGATTAGTTTTATTCTCTCTGTTAACAACTTCATTGTAAGCATTCGTTATGTTGATAATTTTGTTTTCAATTTTCTGAATTTTTGACACATCATCAACTAATAGGCTGTTAAGTCTACTTTCCAGTACATTGGTAAGGTTAACTAAAGTGTCAACTCTCTGTTCTAAAGATAACTCTCTCCCACGTTGTATTAGATCTACAGTTTGGTTAGAAGATCTGTCATCTGTTAAAAACTGTAAATTCATCTTCAAGTCAGCGCTGTTTAACAATTCAGAATTTTTAAAAGTTTTCAGAAATTCTGACATTCTATCAATTGTTTTATCAAACTCTGGAGTTTTAGCCTCTAAGGTCATCACCATCAACGGCTTACGATTTTCTTGGTCAACATGTTTTGTTTTGTTCTCTTTCTTCTCAACGAGACCCCTTTTATTTGTGTAATATACATCACATCCAAACACTATACTAAAACAATCAGAAGTTTTTGTAAATGACACAGTCAAGTCTCCAAACACTTTTGAAAACTTTCCATCAACTTTTGATCCATTTACTTTATAATCTTGAACTCTTGAATCTGATTCTGATACAGACGCCAACATAATCTTCCCCTCTAATTCACTGATCCTATAGACTGACATGTTGACAAGAGCTGAGATTTCATTTTCTTCTCTTGTGTTCTCCACACAATGTAACTTGGCACAGAATAAATCTCTACCCTCCATATAGTATTCTCTTTCCAATGAAATGTCAAGTCCTGAAAATATATAAGTATTTTATAAAAACTTGTAAGCATAAAATATGGCTACGTTTGCTTTAAACTGAGAAACAATAAGCAGTAAATTCCATCCCATTATAATCATGTTTACGTGTTTGTTTGAAAAGTGTTTTTTTTTTCACCGTAAGTTATTTTTACTTTCTCGTATATACGAAGTATAGAGAAAGTCTTGTAATCGTGCAAAAAAAAAATCGAGATTTTTACAAATCTCGACGTTTTACACCTCACTGATACGGAAAAACATAATTTTGCAATCTTGTCCGTATGTCTGTGTGTCTGTCTGTGTGTGTGTGTGTGTGTGTGTGGGTGTCCGTGTGTAAACACGATAACTTGAGTACCGTTACAGCTAGGTTGATGAAATTTCATATATAAGTAATCGTGGATCCGTATCAACTTTTTGAGCGATTTCCGATAACCGGAAGTGGTACTTTTCCTACTTTGAATTTTTCAAAAGCCTATAACTTGAGTACTATTTCAGATAGATAAATGAATTTTCACATGTAAGTAAAAGATCTAATTCTCTACCTTCTTTTAAATTTTGAGTACTTTCCGTTGACCGGAAGTAGTAATTTACGCTACTTCCGATTTCTCAAAAAACAAATGTAAATTTTTAGAGTACTAATAATATTGCGCAGTATTATGCACATTTTTATTTGGCGTTTACTTGGTGTGCAATTAATTTGTCTACGAGACTTTATTCTATTTTTAAAACTTTAAGTATTTAAAATGGATTAAAAATCATGTCTATAGCCCGAGTTCCCATCCCCTGTTATTTTATATAAGAATATTCAAGAAAGTTTAGGGGAGATCACTCCCGGTTTATTTATGTAAGTATAAGTTTTAAAAAAACATGTATCCCATTGTTAAAGCATTTATGTTGTTTTAATTCCAATAGACAAAAGATCGATCACACACAGATGTTCTACACTGCTTCTCATCACTGTAAGACAGCTTAACATTTATGTCAGCTTGAGACAAAAAATATTTCTGGCAACATAAGACTAGTCTGCCTATATTGTAACGTTTAAACGGTCACATCACGTACTTCATATTTACATCTCTGGAACATCTTATAAATTATTACAATTTCAATATATACACACATTATAAGTGTAATACTACAAAATACTGACATATTAATAATATATTAAGGATGTTCCGTTACCAATGCAGTTTATGCTAATACGTTGCGGTATTATAATATGCTGATCGATTGTACAAGGTCCATTAATTATATAATATATTTGATCAATCGTGTAATTATAGCACTTCGATGCAGTAATTTTAAGGGAATTCTTTTTTTTTTCGTTACTGTTGTCAAAAATGTCACTTTATATCTGGATCCTTCACTCGTTTTACTGCACAAGCACAACCGTTAACCATTTTCGATCCTGACGGTCAATGGTGCAGTAGAGTTCACCTATTTCAATTACCTCAGTCGATGAAGTGAGAGCGTTTTCAGCAATATGCTCTTCCTCGCTTTATTAATGTAAGTAAACTTGCAAAATAAAGTTTAAACGCTGCATTTAATGACATCTTAGATAGTCTTATAATATTGTGAGGCTGTTCATCTGCAACGTGGTATGTTGATAAAATATGGCATCGTGATAAAATATGGTATGTTAATAAAATATGGTATGTTGATAAAATATGGTATTTTGATAAAATATGGTATGTTGATAAAATATGGTATGTTGATAAAATATGGTATGTTGATAAAATATGGTATGTTGATAAAATATGGTATGTTGATAAAATATGGTATGTTGATAAACTATAGTATGTTGATAAAATATGGTATGTTGTTAAAAACCGCTATCACGAGTAAATAAACAACATCCTTTGTTGAAAGGCACATAAGCTGTTTTGATACTCAGGTATAATTGAGCAACGTGTCAAAGAAATGCATAGTCATACACGGAATTAAAGTGTAGAGTTTCGCATAAGAAAAAGATAAAGATAAGAATGAGACTGGTCGACTATTGTCGCTAGCGTTGTTCCATCTTGCCATAGATTGGATCATGAGAATTGCAACAGAGTAAAAAAGAAAGTATATACCACGGACACATTGATAACAATTTGATGACAAAGACTTTGTAGAATATCTCGTCTTATCTCACCCAAGCAATAATGATTACAATAGGCAAAAAAGCAACCAAATTATCTACAACTCTAAAGTCAAGTTTATAGGGAGAAAAACAGAATCGTATAGAAAAAAGGAAAAGACTCACCCAAGAAATAATAAGTACAATAGGAAAAAAAGCAACCAAAATATCTACAACTCTAAAGGCAAGTTTATAGGGAGAAAAACAGAATCGTATAGAAAAAAAGGAAAACAAATATCTCTCCTATATAACTGAAAGATAAAAATATCTAAAATATAAAATATGCCACGACAAAGGCAGGATAAACAATAAAAAATATAGCTCGGAGAGGTGCAGACCAAAAAGCCAGAATTGGAAAGGCAAGAGCAGCTTGAGTTAGAGAAAACTGAGTGTCAAGTTAAAAATAAAATGATCAAGCCTAAACGTTTGCATAGAGCAATAACTTGGATAACTAAAATAAAAATATAATGCATGCATGAACAAAATATTTGATGTATACTCGCCTGAAGAACAGATTTAAAAGAAACTTGATTAAAACCATCATTAAAGAAGAACACTAGAGTTACAAATACAGAAACTGATTCAAAAGGAGGTGTAAATTATTTATTATTATTCCGAGGATTGACTACTCTTTAAACAAATATTTGGCATTAACTATCAGGACCCAGAAGGAACCCATTGTGGAAAAAAAATCCGCATAGATTTAATTGGAGACAGGATTTAGAGAAGAATATATAGAAGCTGAACCAACATTAAGGAAATGTAGAGGAAAAGGCTACTAATTCTGTTGCAAAGCCCTAAATATGTCGATACTTCAAAGAAAAAGTACGCAAACAATTCATCCAATAATCTCCTACTTCCGAATTTTCAATGCCGCCAGACCCCGCAATGCAGGGACGGGGGGGGGGGGGGGGCACACCATTTAGGAATGAACTGTGTGATAGTTACATTTATAGTTTAGCATTAAAAACACTAGCGCGCTAGAGGGCTCGGCGTAGTGTAGACCAAACTATTCCTTCATATGCCGAAATTACAGAAATAAGTGAATTCTTCATAACTTGTCATATGAAACGTCGGGTTTGAAAAGGCAACATTAATTTATTTAAAAGCCTTTCAATTCAATTGCGTGTACGCTTTTATTAGGGAGGAAAAACGTGCACACATTTAACATATATCAATTATAAAAGTGCAACATAATCTTCCCCTCTAATTTACTGAAATTATCCACTGACATGTTATCAAGAGCTGATATTCTATTATCTTCTCTTGTATTCTCCACACAATGTAACTTGGCACAAAATAAATATGTTGCCACTGTGTAGTGTTCTCTCTCTAATGCCATGTCAAGTCCTGAATAGATGTTTGTATGTTATATTATATTACATTAAGGTGCAAGTCAATGGCAATTTTAGATGTGACAAACTATTAAAGAATAACAGAACATTATATACATCAAGTATTCTGCGATAGGCAAGAAAACATATTTACTACTTTACCATTGATCCAAGTTAATTTTGCAACGATCATCAAGCTCAGAAGAAAGATCATTTTGACCTTTTAAAAAACAAAATAACTTCTAGTTAAATAAAAGAAAATATTCCGCAATGCTTGCTGCAATTTATTACACAAGCAAAGATGAAGCAGTCAATGACGTTTAAATAGTCTGAGTGTAGAGGATGTGACCTCAATTACTTAACATTGCGGATGCTGTCGCAGGACTTGACCGTTTCGTGGAAATTTATTGCCATGGGTTTCAGGACACATCCTCTTCTGAGAATGAGCAATATTCACATAAGTGTAATTTCCAAAATATGTTCCACTCGACCGCAAGTGTGGCAGAACAAATTAATAACTAACAAACACATTTTACGTACTGTAACACAAAAATAAATCAAATGTCATAGCATATATATATATAAATGGTCTAACCGTAAAATTAGGTAAAGGCTGATTATTATGTCATTTAATGTTAAGTTTGTATTGGCAGTATACTGCACTAATTGATAGTATTTGTCCTTTTTTTAATTCCTTTATAAAATATGCTTATTGTGAGTATTACGCGACGAATGCATAATAATGAAGTAGTCTAATCTGCAGAGAATTTTGGGGACATGAATTACTGGCAAGAGCGAGGTTAGTATTAGAGTACTTGAAGTTTAGTATAATTTATTTTAATAAAGTATCATGTAATATTATTTATAATAATTTTTTTCCCGTTCTTGGCACTAGGTAATACTTTCTAGTATAATTTAAAGAAAGAATCATTCATAGAGCTACATAACACTTGGAATGCATTTTCATCAGCATACAAAAAATAGACATGACAAACAAGTACATATAGGCCTACACCTCACGTGATGTTTTAAAGAATGTGTTTTTATATTAGTTTGAAATATACATTTGTACTTGCCGTTAAATTTGGATTGAAATTAAAAGTAAATAATATCGATGAGTTCAAAATGTATTATATGTTTTAAACACTGTTGCTTATTACCAAGTAGGCGTATTATTTAAGATAACATAATGCATACGGTCAGATCAGGCTCAATTTTTACAGGACATTACTTCCCCCGAATATTACCCCCTAGGACATTCTCCCCCCCCTCCCGTATTTACCCCCGGAGAAATTACCCCCATGTCAATTACCACCCTGTTAATTCCACCCCATCCCCTAACGGGGCATTACCCCTACCCCATCAAATTTAAAATCCTACCTAGAAGTCTATAACTATAAACTATCTTATTCTTAAACATTAAGAAAAAGACCAAACCAAAGCATCTGTCCAAGCCTAAAAGGTAACACAAAACCAAAATCAACCCTAGACATTGCCCTATCCCTATCTCTAAACCTAGCTCCAGACCTATCCCTATCCCTATCCCTATCCCTATCCCTATCCCTATCCCTATCCCTATCCCTATCCCTATCCCTATCCCTATCCCTATCCCTATCCCTATCCCTATCCCTATCCCTATCCCTATCCCTATCCCTATCCCTATCCCTATCCCTATCCCTATCCCTATCCCTATCCCTATCCCTAGCCCTAGCCCTAGCCCTAGCCCTATCCCTAGCCCTAGTTCTAGCCCTAGCCCTAGCCCTAGCCCTAGCCCTAGCCCTAGCCCTAGCCCTAGCCCTAGCCCTAGCCCTAGCCCTAGCCCTAGCCCTAGCCCTAGCCCTAGCCCTAGCCCTAGCCCTAGCCCTAGCCCTAGCCCTAGCCCTAGCCCTAGCCCTAGCCCTAGCCCTAGCCCTAGCCCTAGCCCTAGCCCTAGCCCTAGCCCTAGCCCTAACCCTAGCCCCTAACCTTCTCAGGGGGTAATGTCGGAGGGGAATGTACGGGGAGTAATTGATGTTTAACATCTGTAAGTTGAATCAATGTTTATAGTTTAAAGACATACATTTAATTTTAATTTTACAGAAATAACCTGGTGTCAATCTTGTGTTATTTTCTATTTAAAAGAATATTAATAGGGTTTTAGATTAGAAATTGTGTAAGAATCCTGATAGGATTTTTAAAAATAGTATATATATATATATATATATATATATATATATATATATATATATATATATATATATATATATATATATATATATATATATACATATATATATATATATATATATATATATATATATATATATATATATATATATATATACACATACACACAAACACACATACACACATACACATGCACACATACGCATATATGCAAACATACACACATACACACATACACGCATACACTCATACTCGCCTACACGCCTACACGCATACACACATACACGCCTACACACATACACGAATACACGCATACACACACGCACATACACGCATACGCGTATACGCACATACGCACATACGCACATACGCACATACGCACATAAGCACATACGCACATACACACATACACACATACACACATACACACATACACACATACACACATACACACATACACACATACACACATACACGCATACGCGTATACGCACATACGCACATACGCACATACACACATACACACATACACACATACACACATACACACATACACACATACACACATACACACATACACACATACACACATACACACATACACACATACACACATACACACATACACACATACACATACACATACACACATACACACATACACACATACACACATACATACATACACACATACACACATACACACATACACACATACACACATACACACATACACACATACTCAGATACACACATACACACATACACACATACACACATACACACATACACAAATACACACATACACACATACACACATACACACATACACACATACACACATACACACACACATAAACACATACACACATACACGCATACACACATGCATTCATGCACACATGCACACATGCAGACATACACACATACTCACAAACACACAAACACACATACACATGCACGCATTCGCATATATGCAAACATACACATACACACGCTTACACGCCTACACGCCTACACGCCTACACGCCTACACTCATACACTCCTATACGCATACACGCATACCCGCATACACGCATACTCGCATACACACATACACGCATAAACGCATACACGCATACTCGCCTACACGCCTACACGCATACACGCATAAACTCTTACACGCATACACGCATACACGCATACACGCATACACGCATACACACATACACGCATACACGCATACACGCATACGCACATACGCGCATACGCACATACGCACATACGCACATAAGCACATACGCACATATACACATACACAGATACACACATACACACATACACACATACACACATACACGCATACACACATACACACATACACACATACTCACATACTCACATACTCACATACTCACATACACACATACACACATACGCACATACACACATACACACATACACATATACACAAATAAATTTGCAAAACTATGTTTTTCCGACTAGGGTAGTAAAACGTCAAGATTCGTGAAAATATCGATTTCGATTTTTTGAACGATTACAATACTTCCTCTATACTTCGTATACGTGGAAATAAAAACAAACAATTGTTACCTAAAAAATACACAGATAATTAAAACTAAATATCTCCATCACATTTGCGTTGCAGTTATATACAAATGTACTTACCACAGGTGAACATGATATTTACAAACAACAGAGCCGTCAATAAAATAGAAGACATTGTTGAATTGTGTAGTTTTGTATCACACGAACTGGAGACTTCTCTAAACCGCTGCTTCTGTTTTCTTGTGAGGAAATCGCCGTCTATTTATACCACAACGTTTCGTTAAAGACAAAGAAAAGTCGTTAACACTTGTTTATAAAAACGTGTAGGAATCGCTTACTCCGAATTTCCACAAAAAATATGCTGAAACGTAAATATAGTTAGCGGATCTCAAATCAAATAAAATGGCTACATATTTAAAGCCCGTCTTTTATTTTATAAAAGAAATTTCTAGGTTGTTACATGTAATTTGTAGGTTAGATTAGAATAGGTTAGAATAGTCTAGAACGTACTGGAGAGGCGTGTAAGAGTTGAGTTAACCCCGTTGTGTAGCTACCCCCATTTATTATGTATTGCTATACCCAGGTCTAATGCGGGTATAAAAGCTGAAATTAACGATTGTGTGGGGCTTTTTGTTAGCAGCGGCTAGGGACGAGGGCTTGTGGTGTAATGATAAACATGACAAGTTTAAAATATTTGAACAGTGCCCTAAATAGTGTTTGGAGTTAAATGAAAGGACGACCGTATTGTGTGGTATTGTTGTATTATTTAAAACATTTAGACATTGCCGTGTTGTATGTATGTAATTCAATTAGCTCATTATAAATGTAGACACTAAGAAGAATCATTGCGACTAGGGAGATTTTTAAAAAAATATAATTAAAGTATAACTACCTATAAGGCAGAATGTTTTGCCTCTAAAAATGTATCTTAGCTAAAAAAAAACCCATGACACACAAAGAAGTAGTTTTAAGATGAGTTAGTAACCTGGGGTTGGTCATAATACCACAATACAACAGATGTAAATAAAAAGTTAACCTGTGACATTTTGAGAACCACTGGACTTGAATACACCGAGATATTTTTTTAAAAGAAATCTGCCTGGGTGTGAGAACTCGGCTTCACACATTATCACGTGACATGCAACGAGTAAAAACAAAAAAAGCATTAAGATAAGAGCTCAGCTGTCTACATTATATCATCAAAGTGTTGGCCTTGAGATTTACATAACAGATATACGAATGTGAACATGTCAAGACAACCCCTGACTCTCCAGTAAGAATTTGTGTCAAAATATTTTTTTTTAATCTTCCCCAATAACAAAAGTGGTTCTCAAAATTAAAAAAAATATATTGAATATGAAAATATAACAAAAAAATGTGTTAGTGACACTTAGACTAAGAGATTACGTTGATTTTATGTATTTAATTTCAAACAGATGTGTTTATATCCAAACGAAAAAAAATCGGGAGTGATCTCCCCTAAACTTTCTCGAACATTTTTTTATAACACTATTGGATGTAGCACGTCACGATGAAGACATGATTTTTAATTCATTTATAATTACTTAACC